AACTAAACTTCCTTTCATGGTTGGATACTTGACAAAATAAGTACTAATTTAACAAAAAAACTAATTTCTTTTTCTTTTTTTTTGTTTGGAAAAGATAACTAATAACTTGGGTGTAAATATTACTTTTAAAACATTAATTTAGTTTGTATTCAAATGTCTTAATATCTATTATAATATATCATGAAATTCTCCTAATAAAATAAATAAATAAATATCCTGTGCGCTCCATATGCCCAACATCTGCAACTTTTATTGCATTGTACGCAACTGATTTAGTTCTTATCTTTTCATTTAGGTAATTGTAGTTTGTATGTTTTAATTTTTTTAAATTATAGTCACGATTCAAATTATATCAATTAAATATGTTAGGTCTAAATTTGATTATTACACATATAATATGTATAAATGTAGTCTTATATTCTTTAATTTAGTTATTTTTATTTATATATATATTTAAAATTTTAATCAGAATTTAGACAATTATCTTTAAATTTGTTAATTAAAATAATATAAATTTTTATTGAATATTACACATGTGATAACATGTTTGTCATAAAAGATTTAAAAATAACAGATTTTAACGTAATGATTTTGATAATTATTACTTAGATTAAGACTGAAACTTTAATTTATAAAGTAAATAAATTTAAAACTATGAAATTAAATTGTTGAGATTGCATATAGTATGGGGACTAGTAATAAATTTAACAAAGCATCTTCTACTGCTTCACTAATCGCTGCAGCAGAAAGACAAGGGAATAAAGAAACAGAGAGCACGGCCTTTTATTTCCCTTGTGTAAAAGTAGTGACTTTTACCACGAAAACAGAATCCAACTTTACAAAGGCAAAACGGAAAGGGGAGCGTGGAAAGTATAAATATCATAATTGTTCACAAAAAGAGGGAATAGATATTGTAAACAATAGGAGAAAATAAATTAAAATCCAAGTATGTAGAAAGCAAAGGAGACAAAAAGCAAGGTTGAAGAGTTATCCTGGATGATGTTGAAATGGGGAAGCAAATGCGTTGTGAGCGTGAAACTTGTTGTTATTAGGAGGGAGGACTTTTAGCTATTTCTGGCTTATCGGCCACCTGAGGTTATGCCTGCTTTGATTATCTCAAAATCCATGGCAGTGCACCGAATCTGCTGGAAAGAGAATAGTCTTGCTATTATAATTGATTAATGACTAAAAAACAAAAAACGTTCTGAAAATGTTAATTACTCTTTTTAAGCAAAGACGTACGTACACATGTGCTTTGAGTCCAAGGACCACTTAACATCCATTTGCATTGCCATGCCACCCGCTCAACACATGCTTATCCATTTCCCCTTTGCCCTGCTGCTTTGGGTTCTGCCACATATTCTAGCAGGCCTAAGCTAACAAACTACTACCTTATTATTTCAACCTTATCTACCAAAGATTTTGATTCTAATTTAATTTCTACAAACTAGAAAGATTGTCATCGTCATACCTGTAACATCCCAAATCAGGGTCAGTGACTAAATTGCAAATTTTGTAAACTAGGTGCTCGATTTCGAAATAAGTTAAAAGTTCATGGATTTAATTGAAGAAAGTTGATGTTGGATTTAATGATTAAGTTTGGAAATATTAAGGGTACTATGGTAATTTTTCAGGGAAGATTTTTATTTCCCTTTATAAAGGGTAATAAGCACGTAGGAAGAAGAGTCCAGAGCATTCTTCAGTCTTCTTCTTCCTCCTCTCAACCGTGAAGCCTGGTATAAGGTAAGTGGGTCTTTAGTTGGTTAATTCTTTCGTTTTAAAGATTGTTTTGATTCTTGGGATATTAAGAAAGATTAAGGAAAGCTTTAGGTGGCTTAAACCTCAAAGATTAACAAGTTATGAGAAATTAAGAAAAATGAGTTTTTAAGTGAATTTTTGATATGGAAGGAGGTAATAGATTGTGAAGTTGAATTTGACTTGTCAAGGGTTAAATTAAGAGATATGAAGTGATAGAATGGGTTTTAGAACATGTTGGAAATTTAGTGTGATTCTTGAATGCCATGTAAATGATAGAATTTTGAGTTTAAAGAAGTGATTATGGAGTAGAAATGAGTTTAAGTATGTGTATGAAAGTTAGGAATATTAAAGGGAATGAAGTATGATGTGTTGAGCTGAAAATGAAGGATTTTCGAGCTCAAAATATGATTTCTGGGCAAGGGGAATCGGTACCCATTCAAGGGGAACCGATACCCCTTCAAACGAACAAGAATTTCCAGTATGTCATGGGGGAACCGATACCCCCATAGGGGGGAACCGATTCCCCCTAAAGGAAAATTGGGAATATGGGTTTAATAAGTTCGTTTAAGTTGCTAGTATCCAATTACAAGGTGTAGGTATTTAATGATTGTCTCGAAATGTTCATTTATGTAGATTCTACGCATAAAGAAATTCCGGAACGTTTGGCAAGTAAGATCGATCAAGGGAAAGATAAGAGATTGGAATTGACTAGTGAGGCCAGGTGAGTACATATTTAATAGTATACGATGTGCGATGGGAATAAGACTTGCGATGAGTCTATTTCCTAAAGTGTTACACATGAATTTCATGATTAAAGGCATGAGTGGAATATGCATGTATGTATGTTTGATTATATGGATTGATCTGTTCTTTTATGTGTTAGCTGATAAAGTATAAGTAATTACATAAGAAAGGTTATGAATTATATGAGATATAAACTATGTGATCATAGTAAAATATAATTATTATTATATGATAAGTGAAATAAGCTGGATAATATTGATCTATAGGATGAAGTGAGAATAGTACACTAACTAGGAGATTTGAACATAAATGATAAGATGAACATATAAGATAAGCTAGATGGGAAAGATTCATATGTTTAAATAAAACTATAACACATGGGTTCTATGATAGAAATTTATGAAGCTATATGAGAAGATTATAGGAGTTATATGAAATTGAATTAAGTAGACAGATTAGATTATATATATATATAGAAATAATAGAAGTGAGATGTGTTTATAAGTCTGCCCTAGATGAATATGAATATGAATTATAAGAGTGCTATATGATTTATATTAGGATAAATCTTGAGGATATATATATATATAGATAGATATGAAATGAAATGAAATGAGTTATATGAATACATAATTATGTGATGAAATGGTGGATTACCTGAACATGTGAATATATATAGGTCTAAGAGAAGGCATAAGATTAAGATATAAGCAATGTGACTATAAGTATATATGTGCTCTAAATGATATGACTTATATGTATTTCTATTATAATGTTACATAATATGTTATGTATGTTAAAGGAATTATGTGATGGTATAAGAATTGATATGAAATATATATGTGAAAACAAGTATATGTGATGAGACAAAACCTATGATTATAAGCTACGTGAAAGTGTTCCTATCTGTTATATGAAGTATATGATCATATGTGAACAAGATATGATGAGTATGTGTACATGAATAAAGGTGATTGGGTGAGAAATGATAGAAATTATATGAAAACATGACATATGTGACATGTGAATTATATGGAAATGATCTACGTGTAAGTGAACTACGTGACTATGTGATCATATGAAAAGAAGCTATGTGATAAGTGATATGTGAAAGTGAATTACAAGTTTATGTGAATATTTGAAATGAAATAAATGATAACGCCCATGTTATGTGTCATGAGAGCTAGGGGTATAGTTGGCATGCCAAGAGTCGAGGGTCTACGCGGTTCTTCGGGACATATGTATATTCTTTGGAACATGTGTGAAGTCTGGAAAGACACATACTTGATCCCTAGCATATGTATATGATTCTTAAAGAATTCTATGTGGTCCTTATGGACATCATTATATGGCACTACGGTGCAATTCTACGGGGCACTTCGGTGCATTTATACGAGCTGTGGTGATAGCATAGTGCACAACCTCTATAGACTCACATATCGATAGTTCTCACATATGTACATGGGCTAATCCAGAGATATGAACAAATATAAGTTAGTGGTATGATAAATACTATAGAAATGATATGATGTTGTGTGTGTATAATGTTTGATTGAAAAAGTATGTGATTATATGATAAACTGTTAATGATGAATTATGTGTATGTATGTATTTACTGCAATTAATCTGATATGATTTTATACGATATGAAAAATGTATGGAATTGCTATAACATGATAGAACAGAACATGCATGTATCAATATATGTTTTAAAGTGCATTATAAGTTGTTATGCCTCACTAAGTCTTCGACTTAGCGTGTGATTGTTTCACACGTAGGTTTCGAGAAGAGTAAGGAGGGATGCGGAGCAAGACAAGTCAGTTTTCCTTACCAAAAGATCAGATCAGAAATATTTGACAAAGTATGTATTTGGTTATGTATAAAGTGTTGGCATGTAATAAGTCATTAAGTACGAGCACTCTGATAAAGTCTTTATTTTGATTTAAATAAAGTTTTAAATTTCCCGGGATTTTTCTTAAGAGTCAAGATTTGAAAAGTCAATGTGACACTTCGGACTCGTATCCGGGTCGGATACGGGTTGGGGTGTTACAATACCTTTTTTTTTTTAATCTTTTTCGTATGCAAAAATAAATAGGATATGTAGGGATAGGGGTTTGTGTCGGAGCCAGGAGGAAGTCCATAAAGTAAAGCAATGCAAGTATTAATTATGCATTTAAGCTTTGGTTCAAAGTTCAAAGAAAACAATATTTCTCTACATCTTGGCTTTAGATGACATAATAACGATAACGTTTAATTTCGTCAGATTATACCTATACCACTAGTCTTTTATTATTAACAAATTATTTAACTTATAATAATTTGAATATCATCCAAAATGTTTTAAATTTGAATAGCATCTATAACCCATTTAAACTTTTAATTAAAAAAACTGCAAAGAGAGAGATTATAAAAGTAAACACCAAAGCCACTCTAATAAATTTCTCATCACCAGATTTAAGTTCATGTTTTATACATGGAAAAAGAATCTTCAATTTCACTAAGATGGGGCTTTTAAGGTTACACTGGCTGCTGATCAGCAGGCACGTATTATCACTACAACAAATTCAGACAGGAAATAAAAGAAAGAATTTTGCTGTTTTGCTTAAATTAATCGACAAGAAGACATCTTATGTTGCCCTGATGATCAGCTTCTGCAGCACATAAAAAGATTGCTGCAAAGTGTTTCGTATTTCGCATCTTTTGCCAACTCTCACCTCCCATGTCTGTAATTCTCAGCCGCAGTGAAGGACCTTCACGGCCTACTAGAATTTTAACCAGAAGAAGCAGGAGCCGTCATTTCCCAGGTTTCATCAACTCCCACATGGATTTTCTCCTCAGTTCTCACTGAAACTTATTCTCAAGGGCAAAAGAATGTACAAGCTAGCAATGTTTCTGCGAACTGATATATAAACGCCGTTCTACTTGGAGAATCAGTTGAAAATGTAAAACATACAAACGTTGTTCTACTTGGAGTATCAGTTGAAAAAGTATGGTGACTTGAGAACCTCTCTCAAGTCAAAGTTGCCTCTCTCTGGGAGGGGAGGAAAAACCAATGACGGATATGATGTCTGGAAGCTTTCAAGCAACTGCAGAGAACAAAGGTCAATTAAAATGAATGAGATGGAGATTGCAGCAACACTAGAGATAAATATTTGATTGGAAAAGGTTTCTACTTCCTATTACAGGAGTACCTTTTTTCCTCAACATCACAGTCAATCGAACAATCAAACATACTTTTCATTCTAAGAATAGGAAGACAGGGATCACCACACTTACATTTTCAAGAATTGGCATGCTATAAAGCTCCACAAATTTTTCTCTAAGTATCTGGTTCATCATCTCCACATCACGTGCATGAGTCCAGAAAGAGTCATGGACCCCTGCAAATAGTTTTATTCGTTGCGGATATGAGCATTTATGCTATAGAAAAACATTATTAGATGATTTTCCCCACTATTATATTCCAACGGTGTAAATACTAAATATAACGGTTCACACTTTGATTTTAACATGAATCTTAGACACCACCTAATATATTATGCAATCTATTTTAAAGCTCATATTTGCAACAAATGCTGCTATGTTAAGTACATTTATAACAGTTTCACTACCTTTCTTTTCTGGAAATGCATTCATTTCAAGAAAATTTCCCTTTTAAGATAATATGTCAAGGTTCTATACAAGTTTATTTTATTTGTTCTCATCAAAATAAGTCAAATCTTGGGGTCTGTTTGTTTCATGAAAAACATTTTCCGAAAAACGTTTTCCACATTTTCTAGTGTTTGGTTAGAGGAAAACAGGTTGATCAATGTAAAACATTTTTCTTATCAACAAAATTTCTTTTGCATTTTATGGAAAATGACTTACGGTTTGATTTTCCGCAAGTCATTTTCCAAACTTTACATTTCAAAGTATAAATACTCAAAATAATAATATTAATATGATTTTTTAGTATCATTTTAATAAAAATAATAATTATTAATGTATTTAAAATATATTTATTAATATTTTTAACAATATAATATATTATAATAATATATGATATTATTATATTCTTATTTTAATAATATAATAAATTATTAATAAAAGTTATATTATTTATTAATTTCTTAAAAATATTATTAAATTATTAATAATAAATAATATTATTTATGTATTTAATATTAATATAATAGTCTAATAATATTTTAATAAAAATACTTAAAATATAATTATTAATAATTTTAAAAATATAATATACTATTCTTATTTTAATAAATCTTTAATATAATTTATAATATTTTATTTTAATAGAATATACTAATCTTAACATTTTTATTTATAAAATTTTAGAAATAATATTTTAATAAATTATTCTAAGATTTTTAAAATAAAAATATTAAGTTTTTATAATAAATAATATTATTTATTATATTTCATATTTGCAATAAATAGTTTATATAAAATTTATCAACTAGTGGAAATGATTTACACAACTTCTTCCAAACACCATAAAATGTTTTTCAAAAGATGCAACTTATTTTACAGAAAAAAAATTTCAGAAAACATTTTCAGTGAAACAAACGGACCTTGGTCTAAGCTCTGCCTACTAAAAGTTAGCAAGACATACCTGCAAAATGTAGACCAGCGTCTCTGCATGCAACAGCAGTCATCATCATGTGAGAACCATCAAGTGAGTGCACAAAATTTGGAGGGAATGCAGTTCTCTGTTTTCTAACATCCACCTGGAATTGACAAAATATTAGTTCTACTTACTTAAGAACAAACCAAGCAGAAACAATAACTCAAAACAAGGGCCAGAATAAGGAACTTACTGAGCTGCCCTCCCGCTGCAAGGCCAATACTTGTAGAGAAGTTCTTATCTGAAAAGCAGAGCAGTGAATTTTGTTACTCTAATGCCAATACTTTTAATTGAAAGATTGAACCGAGTATGGCTAATATTCTATTAAAGTGTATCCTAATCCAACTGCAAACCTGAAGCCTGAAGTATGGGCGCTTTAAGAAAGACAAATCTTTAGCCCATGCAATATTGACAAAAAGAACAGTTTTTCTTTTCCCCCCAGTAATTTAAAAACTCTAGCTAAGAACATGAATTTATTAAGAGTATGAAGAAGCACTTCTCTAGCTCTAGTGCTTCTGCTTTGTCCCTCAAGTTATTCCAGTTACAGATATAATAAAATGTTTTCGTCGGTATTTTAATGGAAGGGAACCTTCCCCACACTGATGTATCTTCCCACAGAATATTTCACTTGACTTAGCTGGACTGATGAACTAGAAAGCCAGTCCTTTCAGTTGGAAATTTTCCCATTGGATTGTTTGAGATTAAAACTCAGGGTATATGATGATAGTTTTCAGCCTTTTTGCTGACCAATTGATGTGATTAACCAAAAATGATACTCCTGTAAGAATTGAACAGACTTAATAATCCAGTACACTGCAATTATAACACTTACAAGATGTCGTTCACTTTTATAATAGGGCTGCACAACAGGGAGACCAAGAGGTGTTGTCCACCGCACCGGTTGATTCTCCGAAGCAACAATCTAGAATACAAGGATTTCACAGACTAATAAGTTGATAGTACTAAAAGTCGTTGCTCCACAATTACCATAAGGTAATTTATATCATGTTTCTTGTAATAGAAGAAGTCAAACCTTTGCACAGTCACCTAACCAAACCATTATGTTGCGTGCTGCTTGGAATAATTCTCCAAGGGCTGCCAATGTCACCTGTTAATTTTTTTTTTACTTTAGTATCAAAATTGGCAAGTTAAATTATTTTAATTCAACAAAAATATTGATAGCGTAATCTTCTATTGATCTATCTTATTCATCCTTTTCACAAGGTTATAAGCAAACAGACACATCAACATATATGAATACACCCATGCACACATAAAATAGAACATTTCTTCCATCCTCCAAATGCTGATGTAACCGTTCTAGGAAACAATACCCTCCTAAAATAGAAAAGAAAACAATCTGGAATACCCCCACTTTATATCATCTAACAACAATTTTGAAAGTGCAAGATACCTATGTCAAGAAATTGAGAGAAGAAAGGGCGTCGAGTACTACTGAAGAGAGATCTAATTGAATGCATGTGCCCAGAAACCTAGTATTAATAATACGGGGATTATCACAATTTGTGCTTGCATAAGTACATAAAATTAAATGGATTGCTTACTTTAGCAGTATAGCAAGCTGCAGAAAATAGCATTCTATCATCAGTTATATGACCCTTCTCCGCCAATCTTCGTTTTATTTGCTCACGTGCCCCAACAAAAGTTACACCATACACTGAGGTCATTACTGTTTGCTTTACTAATTTTCGATCCACCTGAACATTTTCAACATTTTAATCTGTTAGTTCAGGGGGGGGGAGTTCTAATTCAAAATCAATTGTAAACAGTTTAGATGTTAATGTTCAAGGAAATCTAGCAATTTGAATTTCAATAAAACCAAGTTCAACCTGATCAATTAAGAGCTTTGCCAATAAAGCATTGGGATTTGTCGCAGGATCCTTGTTACTGTCCCTCTTCATTATATTGTGAACCCTGTGAAGCCCCAGAAGATAAAAAATGACAAGGAATAAGGAAAAACATTATTTCTCATTCTCTAGAACTATATTTCAGGATACATACAAAATGACAAGTTTTCCAGAAACTAAAGCAGCAACAAAGAGAGATGAAGCTGACATAACACTGAAAGATAAGTGCCATGCACAGAGGAGAAGAGATAAGACTCGGAGCAAGAGAATTGGGGAAATCAAAGAAAGGGCTAGGGATTTGGAATTGGGAATGGGCCTGACACATTCTACAGCCCACTAAGGATAGGAAACAGCTTGCTTATTTGCGCAGGTTGTTATACTCAGTACAGCAAGGACTGCCAGCTGTAGAGTTTAGCTATGGGTACACTGTAAACAAATAAGACCATGTACTAAGGAGATGATTTTTATGAAAATATGGAATGAACGTTTCTTTTCTGAATCCTCTCTTCTCTTCTCTATTTTCCCTCGATAATTCTCTATTTCTCTTGTGTTCCTGCAGCTCAAATAGTCTTCCAACCATTATCTTATCTGTTCTTCAAGTTTGAAAGGCTAGTTCATTTGAGTTAATTATAAGTTTTAATCATGAATTTCCTTCTAAAATTCCTTTTGTCTACACCTCAAACAATTACAAAATAATATTAACAGGTTCTCTGATTTTGGTCTACCAAAGCAAATACATCTGCACAATAATTGAATTCATGCATCATAATTGAATTCATGCATCGTCTAATTCACATTGTTTTAATTTCTTAGTTAAAGCAACACTACCTATATCCAACAGTTCTATCCCGATGACTAAGGCTCCATTCAATTGTTGATATTTCTGCACATAATTTTGCTATCCAAAGCAAAGCACTTTGAATGCAAAAGAAAACATTTTTATAAGACTAAAATTAAAGTCTGAATTTTCCTTTTTTACTTCAATAAAGAAGCAGTACAATTACGGTTTGGTTGCTTTTGACTCTTTCCTCAGTTTTAAGCAACAACTAATTGCAGCAAATAATATCAGGGAAGGTTAACTCTAAGTAGAGATGCAGCAAGCTTTTTATTCCCCCATCACTAGTTTTCCAGATAATAACTAAATGGAATTCAATATATATACCTCACAGCAATCTCTGTATAAACATCAGCAGGTTTCTCTCCTGCGACCAAGTTAACTGCTGCAGCTTCCAACTATGAGAATGGATAAAAGATGTGAGACCACAGAAGCACTGTTAATAACATAACAGAAAAGAATGGCTAATGATAAACAGATAATTAGCGGGTAATAATTCAGTAACCAAAATAGGTGTACAGGAAACAAGTTCAGATTCTCAAAAATATATTAAGAAAACATATTTTATACAAATGCATGTGTGTGTAAAACCCAGGCATGAGAAGATGGATTGCAGATTATTTTGAACAAGGAAAAGTGCTTATCTACGACCAGAAAACATACATTGTCTCTTCCCAAGGCTGCATAGTGCTGTAAGCCATTGCAGGAACCATCCTGTATTAAAATTTTTAAGGGAGAGAAGAAAAAGAAAGGAGGGTAAGGCAGATGAAGGGGGGGGGGATAAAATGCAAAACAAGAAACAATAACGCTAATTAAAAAGCTAAAAGAAGATAAATTACACATATTCGTGTAAAGAAAACCAAAGAGGAATAAGGTTTAGTTGTGTGCAAGTAAAACTGATAAACAATGCCCTTTAAACAGGGAGAACAGAATCAAAATAATGGAGGTATTTTCTATCCAGTCATTCATAAAAGCAACTATCCTAAGATGTGGTATCAGTAGTCAGTACAAGGTCACTACAAGCAACAGACATGTAATCTCATTCACATAATCAAGACTTACAACAGATGTCTAGCAGAATGATATCATACAATGGTGCTCTATCACTATGTGCACAATGCTAGAAATCTATCCAAATGAGTAGTTCAAACTATCTTATTATTTTAAATCTCATTCACATAATCAGGACTTACGACAGATGTCAAGCAGAATGAGAATCACATAATGGAGCTCTATCACTTTGTGCTCTCCTGGAATATTCACAATGCTAGAAATCTATCCAAATGAGTAGTTCAAACTATCTTATTATTTTAAGATGGGTATTCCTATTTTATTACATTTAACAAGATTAAATAGACAGTATAACATGACCAAGTACACTATGATGATAGATGCTTTTTCTCTGCTTCAAGGACCCTAATGAAGGTTTACCTGATGAATTGGCAGGTGGGATACCGTACTATGTGGTGATGAGCTCTTTAAGGCTTCTGACAAACTAAAACAAGCAGCCAAGCATTGAAAAGGATCTTCAGCTGTTAACCACCATCGGTTACCGTGGATAGGGTTTTCTGCTGAGTCAAATATTTCATCTAAATGGTTATCAACAAATGCGAGACGCCCATCATGTGAAAGCTTTTCAACACCTCCTGAGTACAGATTTGCTAAATGTATTTTCAGCCAATGTAACCCTGATCTCCCCAGTGGCCGTCCTTCTGCGAATTCAAGAACTCCTCGACAGAGATCGGAACTTAGATGATTCAAGTGTGGATGCATGGGGTATGCACGGCCTCGAAAATCAAGATTGTGAGGATAATAAAAGCCTTCCTCATTTCCCATTCTCCGAGCCACCTGTCATATGAGAACGCATGCACAGACATGCAAATGCATTAAAACAAAAACCATCAAGCAATGTGCACACTGATTCACTTTTTCTGGGGAGGAGGGGAGATGTTACCGAAAGCTTAAGTTCAGTGTCACATCTTTGAGAATGTCTCTCACGGTTAATCTTGTTTGCCTTTCTCACGCTCCATTTCCACTCTTGGATTTCAATTGAATCCTCTGAATGAGGTTTGTCTGGTATAGGAATCTAAAAATCCATTGAAGGTATATTTCAGGGAGAGAAGTATATAGTGGTAAATATTCACCCCATTTCAAACTGGCTACATATTATTTGGCACGCAGTATAAATGAAAAGCAGATCAGAAGCATCTTAGAATCTTGAATTGTTATTAATGTAGATTCACAGTGATTGTTTATGTCACATAGTAATATAATCATAAACAATAGAGAGGATTAGTTGCCTAAAATGTAAGGACGTGGTGGGATGGAGTTTAAAGAGGTTCAGGCATGCTAGACTAGTTGTCAACTGAGATTCCATGTAAAAATCACAAAAAGGCAACTGGTTGGAAATAACCAGGAGTAAACTGGTATGGTGGAAATTTTGGCATGATTTTCAAATAAACAAGCAAGAAGAGAGGTAGATAGTGACCTTTTCATTAAAAGAGTGCTTTGATCATCATAAAATATGTTAATAACTAACACTAGTTTTCATAGGATTTCAAGTCAGAACCATTAGAATGTGGATACCATTAACTAGCAAGCACCAAAGCTCTAGGTAGAGTATCATTCTAGCTGTGTTAGATAGCAGGGGGGAAAGGCAAAATAATAGAAGTAAATTTCAAAAGCAGAAGTTCATGATGTGCTCACATCATTTCGATCAACCATGCCAGCAACGTTGCCACCAGTTGCCCAAATACTCTCTACCACAGCAAGAACCTTATTGTTCACCCTCCATTTGGTGCTTCCAAGTGTATCAAGGGCCTGCATTCATTCCATTTCGGAAAGTCAAACAGAAATAGCAATTAGATAGAGACTACTGACAATAACTACAAGTTCGTTGACAAGCTTTCAATTGCACAAAAGAGTAAATTTGTACAAATCCTCACAGTTCCAGTTCATTGCTTTTATCATATAACTATTATAACTATTGAAATCAATTAGATATATAAACTCAACTAAAATCTTACAAGAAATTGGTGCAGAAGAATTTGTCAAATTTTCCTTTTCATCAAAAAGGTATTTTAGAATAATCTTAAGAAATTAGGGGGACTAAAAAAGAACACATAATTTTTTTCATTTTAAGATAGGGAACATGTGTTTTGTACTTCCTGCTATGTAAGAGACCTGGATAGAATGTAAGTTGCAACATTTGGCGGAGAAGGGCAAACCTTTCAATTGAACAATAAAGAATCAGTAAAACATAGAACCGCAGAATTTATTACATGTCCCTAACGAATTTATGTCGGGCCAACAAACATCTTTGGCCTTAACTTATACAACAAGAAAGAAATGCATGAAAAGAAGAACACAAAAAGAGTTATTACCTCAAACACTTTCCGCATATTTTTTACAGCGACACCCTTAAGTGCCTCTTGTTGTTTCCTTGATCCATGAGTTCGCATGACATAAGAAGGCAAGAACAAGTAGCCGCCCTTGTCATACCTGGAAGGAGTTTGTGAATACTTAAGTGTAACTTACAGTTACTACCCTTAGAGGCTCAGTGCAAAAATATATTATAGGTTCAGTTCAATGTCTAATAATTGACTTAAATTTGTGTGGTCTATTTGGCTTAGGACAGGGTAAGCAAGAAAAGGAATGGAGAAATGTTACATGCCAACTCCTTTAACTTTACAGAAAACATTTAGCAGAAAAACATTTTGACTCCTGCAACCTACGTGTAATAAATTCCTGGAAAGCAGATGAAACTATCAGTCTATCCTAATTTTTCTCTGCAGCATACCCTTTCCATTTTTTTGGAGGCACCAACATTGGTACATAAGGAATCATCATATGCTTAGCCTGCATGCAAACAAAAGAAATAAGAAGCGCTTGAGTTTCAGGAATTCAAAGGAATCAACAGACAATTATTAGTCAATACCCATATTGCTGACCAGAATACTTTATGAGCTTAGTAGTAATATAAATACCTATCACTAGCGTTCAAGAAAACAACTTAGACCAGAAAATCCTTAATAGGGTAAAGTGCCTTTGAGTATATCTATGTGCAGCTTATGCATATGGCTAGACTAAAAACTGCACTGGAAGGGTTGAACAGGAAGTATTAAAATTATAACTTCAAAGATAATTCAATTGCTAGGTTTCCAGAATAGAAAGTACAAATGAAAGGAAATGTCAACTTACAGATTTATCAAGCCCTGAACGTAGCAGAGGATCACATTCAATAATTCCATATCTCTTCTTAATTTTTTGCCTACAACAACACATCATTCAGAAAATTAAATGTTACTGGAAAAACATGAAAAAGAAAATTGCATTGTTGTCAACCCTCTTCCTCCCAAATGCAGCACAATCCAAGCAAAAAGCCAGAGGTTTATTCGAAAGACCTAGAAATCAAATCTAACATAGGCAATTCCACACCTAAGAAATAGCCCAGTGACTAATTGCCTAGAAAATGATCTGGCAAACCTTTATAGGGCATGTGGTTCATTCTGCAAAGATAAAAGGCTGACCAAGCAGATAAACTCTCACCTGGGGTCCCTCGAGATAGTTTTAAATTTATGTCTAAAAGCAGGTCGAACATCGGGAGGGCTATCTCCTGACTGGTCAATTGGAGGTTGAACGTAAGCTGTTTCAGTTAATAGTTCTAGAAGATGACTTCCAAGCTGCAGGGTAACAATCACCCAAGAAAGGGTTCTCAAAATCTAAAACATAAAGGAAAGACCAATCAACCGTTAAGAAAAGAAGGTATGCAAAAGGCTGCAAACCTTAGCTTGAGCATCTCGACCCCAAGGTTTAATTTCTTCATTTTTTACCAGCTTCTGCACTTCAATGAGTCTCCTCCTCCTAATCAAACTATTAACACGTTTCCTAAGTATTTCCTTCTCCTTGCTCACACCTTGAACCTCATCTACTATCTGCTTCCTCTGATAGTTCTTAGTTTTCTCCAAGAAGCTATGAATTCTAACCTGATACAAAGTAGCATTAGCAAAGTTTCATCCTTGTTTTAACAACAATGATAAAAAGGAAAAGAGTCAACTGAGAAGGCCAACACCCTGAAACCTCCAACTAATATGTTTTTGTGAAGTAATATGAACTAGAAACCTCCAACTAATGTTTTGTCGTCCACTTCAATTATAAATTTATACATATCAACAAAACATAGATTATTTTCATTAGAAACCCAGGGGAAATGTCATAAGGGAATGTTTTCTCCTTGAAGTATATACAGAAGCTTGGGTCTTCGACATAAAATTGAAAAGAATCCAAATATGACCTATTACTCTTTCTTAAGACGTTGAAATCTAGATTTAGAATCGCCCCTTAACTTTCTCAAATGCATCAAAAACAAAAACATAATAATAAAAAATTAAAAGGGAAGAAAAGGGGAGCAAAAATTAAACTTAATAGGCTAACCTCTTGTTCAACAGCCACCCCAATATGCACAGCAGCCTGTACAACCTGCACATACCCATCTTCCTCCGCTCCCATAAGCATTCCCATCATCTTATGCATAACAATAATCGCCATTTTATCAGCTGGTAACAAATCAATATGCGGCGCATAAGCCGCCCTCAGCTTCTTGCTCTTTCCCTTCTGAGCCTTTTGTTCCCGGGCAATTGCTTCCCTCAAAGGCTCAAACCATCCGAGAAACAACCCTTTGACGTAAGGCAAATTGGGAGCCAATTTCTTCTCACACATTTCCCTCTCCAACTCCCTGTATTCTTCTACCATCTTCTCCCAAGCTTCAGTCTCTTCTTTTACTTGTCTCCTCCTAAGAATATTATACTTCCTTTTCTCGATCTCTTTGTACTCTATTTTGACAGTCTGGTTGGTCATTTTGTAAAGACCTTTTAAAAATAAAGCCGATATCCATGGTGGGTCTTGGATAAATATCCTCGGGGCAGAATCTGGGGAAAGAATTTGGCGGCTGTGAGCAATGGGTAAGAGAAAATTTGATGGATTTTCGATGTTTTCTACGAAGTTGTCGTGGATGGAGTCGTATAGAGGGTGGAAACCAGGTGGGTTGAAAGGGGGATTGAAACTGAATTGGAAAGGGAAGGAGAACATAGGAGAAGGAAAGGAGTGTTTACGGAGGAAAAGAGTGGGTTTTTTGTGGTGTTTTAGGGGTGTGAGAGGCTTTGAATATGTTGGGTATTGAGTAAAGGATAGTGAGACTGTGGCAGCCATTTTTGGTGGTTGGGGAGATAAGCGTATATTTTCAGGGCGGTGAAGAATGAATAAGGAACTTCCCTTAAACCTCTGGCGAATATGACCTTTTGAATGATATTTTTGTATTGACAATTTCAAAAGATAAAAAATAAAATGAAAATTACTTTTTCCCATAATCTCTATTAAATTAATAGAATTGAAAAAAACAATATTAAATATTTTTATCCATCCATAATAATATTTAAAAAGTATATATAATGGTGAATGAAACTCTTAAATAAAAATATTTTTCTAAGTTTAATTAAGAAAAAATGTTTTAAAAAATACTAAAAATATCAAATTCTATTATTTGTTCTTCTATTACTAGGATGTAGAAGAATAACAAGTACAACCATATATGCTATTATATTTAGAGGAAAAAAATCATAGCCTTCTATTAACCATAGTCTTTCAAGTATTTTTTTTCTTTTGTTGTCTTCTTGGTTCCAAAATTTTGATTTGATTAATTCAAACTAATTCACGTCGTACATTGATTTTGGTGGATGAATCTTTCAACAGAAATTTTCTGTATACACAAAAATTTAAACTTAAGACTTTGCTTAAATGATACAAACTGTTTACCACTTGAACCAGCCCTATTGCTATAATCTTTTAAGTATTTATCACATATTTTAAGGTACAATCCTGAAATTATATATAACACTTACTTTTTTAATTATAAAATTACTTAGTTAGGGTCATTTACCTCGTAAAAATATAAGCTCTATTCTCCTTTTAGACCTTAAATTTGATTTTTATACTTAAATTTGATTTATTTCCCCCCCCCCCCTGATAATTATAACTCCTCGGTTGGGTTGCGAGCTCCTCAAGGCTAAAGCTAGGCATAAATATGCCCCAAATTGGGTAAATATAAAGTTTTATGTAACATAAAAACTAAATATAAAGTGTTCTAAAATAGCATGCCTTAATTGTTCTAGTTTTTTTTTCTAGTTTTCTCTAGTTGATAAGTAGTTTATTTTTTTGTTTATCGATCAGCGTCGACACTAATTTTAGTGTTAATTGTCAACCATTAATATTTTTTATTATTCTTCTATTTTCTCTTATTTTTTATTTTCAATAAGTCTGCTTATATGACATATTTTTTTTATACTTTTATGACATGTTTTCTTATATCTTTTGACATATTTTTCGTTTGTTTGGTCGTTGTTTTCACTTATATTTTTAAGGGTTGATTTGACATCGCCATGACTGATCAAGATGACATTTATCTATTATATTGTTGATCTTCTCTGTTTTGGATTTTCAGATTAGATTTGGATACCCGTTATGCGTTCTTGGATAGCTTTTTACGTCGTTCGAGTATGATTTACGGTTTGTCAGTAGTCTTTATGTAACTTGATCCCCTATTGTGGTTTGTTTGTCGACTCGATCAGATATGTTTGTATCTATATTTGTTTGAATTTTTTTAGTTAGATTTTAATCATTCCTTATATGGTTTTTATGTTATTTTAAGTTGTTAGTTTTGTTTTAATGATTATAGGAAATTTTCTTAATTATATTATTGATTTAGTATATTTATTATTTTGAATAAAATCAGTGATTTCTTTAAAAAAAAATAAAAAATAAAATAGCATGCGTTAATAATCTAATCGACCTATATATTTTCCTTCCAAAGCTGCTGGAGAATGCATCCTTTAAGAGGACGAGAGCACGTACCATTTCCCTCCCAATGAAGATCTGCAGACGGGGCAAGTTTCCTTCCAAATCCATTGAGCAATATATCCCTTACGAAAAACATGCGAACAGGGCATCTTCAAGCAGGTGCCATTGGACAGCCCTTCCAAACAGATAGCACACTAGCTGCCCTCATCACCGGCTACATCATCACATGATTCAAACGAAGCCAGTCCCGGTACTCGTCCCAACATAATTAGAAAATCGGTCGACTCCAGTGCTTTTCCTAATGTCTCCAAAATATAATCATCATCATCAACAGATCCGCCATTATAATTAAGCCATTCCCTCCCACAATCTTGGCGGCTTCCAGAAACCCTGGTTTGGTTTACATCGACCACAATGAGAATTTTTGGTGAGTCAGGATAAGAGAACATTTCGGAACCAAAACCGTAGTTGTCTCCAAGATATTTCGATATGCTGTTGGCCAAAGATTCAAAATTACTTTCCTCGGCAATCTGTTTGGTACTCGAAACAGCTTCGTAAGCCAGTTGTTGGATATTGTCTTCGGAGGACAAACGTTGTGTATTGAATTCAAACATATAGGCATGTGGGTCGCGAATATGGATGTTTGATTAAGATCATGAATTGTCCTAGAAGAGGATGGGGCGAACTCCATGCTGTCACATTCATTTTGAATACTCGGACTTGTTCTTGAACAGCAACTTCCATCTTTCCGTTAAAAATGCTGGGTATGAATGTTTATTGTCGTATAATTGAGTTTTTGAACATATATTTTCTTATATACACTTTAAATTTATATAAAATTATAATTAACTATTTTTTCAGTATTTTATTTTATTTTTCAGTCAAACGTTCTAAATAACAACAATTAATTTATTTTAAAACAAAATAATTCAGATGTGAGTGAATGTTATTTTTCCAAATTATACAGATTGCAATTTTCACTCTCATATTTTTTTCTTTTATTTTCAAATCTAATGATTTACTTTTAAAGATATTATGCATGTGTTAGTATGAATTAATGTATACTGTAAAATTATGAATGATTCGTTAAATCGATTCTAAATTATTTGATGATATTTGTTACTCGAAATATCGTAATAGAGTTAATACATACAGTAAATTTTAGTTTATGAAAATGATGCATTTTTTAAATTAAAGGTCGATGTCAGTTTTGACAAAAATCTTAATATCATGTTGAGAAGTATGTTTAATCGATAAGCAATAGATATTGATGAATGACAGAGAAAATCTATAATAGAATGATCCAACGACGGTTGAAATTTATAAATATATTGACAAAAAAATACGAATGAGATTAAAATAATATAAGGGAAAAGGAATTAATAGATATTTCATCTTCCCTGTATTGGTTTAGAGATATTTATTTATTTACGAAAATATAATTACATAGTCAAAAGACCTGGGAATAGAGATTAGTTTTTGTTTTTAAATATCGAATTATAACTAAAAATACTATAGCTAAAAATTAAATGTATACAACATGAAAAACTAAATATAAACTGTTTAAACTAAAATACTATGCCACTGGACAATACATCCTTTAAAAGGAGGAGAGCACGTACCATTTCATTCCGAATGATGATCTGCATATGGGGCAGGTTTGCTCCCAAATCCATTGAACAATGCATCCCTTGTGAAAAACATGTGAGCAAGGCAGCTTCATGCAGGTGCCACCGGAGAGATCTTCCAGGCAGATGGCACACATGCTGGGCTCATCACTGGCTATATCTATATGATCACATACTTCAAACGAATCCAGTCCCCACACTCTTCCCGACTGAAGTACAAAATCCGTCCAGTCCAGTGAGTTTGTCAATGCCACCAAAACATCTTCGTCATCGATAGCTTCGTCGTTATTAATCCGTTCCATTCCACAATATAGAGAATTTACAGAAACCCAAGTTTGGTTTACATCAACAACGATGAGAACTTTGGGCGAGTCGGGATCATCAGAGATTGTTTCGAGTCCAAACCTGTAGTTGTCGACAAGATGTTTCGATATGTTGTTAGCCAAAGATCTAACGTTACTTCTCTCGACAATCTGTGTAGTACTCAGAATGGCTTCGAAAGCCAGCTCTCGGATATCGTCTGCGGAAGACAATCGTTGCGGATCAAACTCGAACATGAAGGAATGCGGGTCACGCGAGTGACGGTTTTTGATTAGGAACATGAATTGTCCAGGAGGAATATGGTGCCAACTCGGTAATGTAGCATCCAATTTGAATACTCGAACTTGTTCTTGGGAAACAACTTCCATCCTTTTGCTAGAAAGCTTGCTTCTCCGACGAGCGGTGAAAATAAAAGCTATTAGGCGGCGGCAAAGATCGGTAATTCGCTATTAAGTAAATGAGGTGTTGCCTTTATTTATTTATTTTTTAATGAGTACGGTAAGCATCCTATAGTTAATCTATTAGCGTGTCAAGTTCACGTCAAAAAAATCTTCTACAGATAAAAGTACACGTCAGAAAAAGAGAGATATTTTCAAACGATATTGGTAAAAAAAGGAATGAATTTAAGTAATAAGATAAATGTACTTTTTATTAATTACTATTAATATTTTTAATTAAAAATAATAAAAATATACTTAATTATAAATTATTTTGATATTACTGAGTTAGATCATAAATTGCATTATATTCTAATATATGTAATTAAACAGAATGAGAACATGCAAATTAAATAGAGGTAATTACAAAGTTGAACTATTTTTAATTCAATGACAACTTTGTAGTTGGTACAGTGCATATAACTACAAAAACATTTCACTCTAGTTTTATTCTGTCTTCTTCATCTCCACTCTGTTTGCTCATACATCACATACATAAAATAGAGAACCAGGAACAATGAGTGTTTTCAACAGTTGATGCCGCACATTGTGGTGTCTGGTCCTTTAGTTTTCAGCACAAACGGGTCGATTCGGACCCAAAGCAAGGAGAAGATTGAAGCTAATAACACCGACCATATAACCACAATGGTTGGTGTCCTGTTTTGCTTCCCCATTAGACCTTTAAGGAATGGATAGAGATGGACAATCACCCAGAAGGAGAAGAAGAGTTTTCCAAAGAGAGGTCCCCAAGATTGGTAACCATTGTTTATGGCATCCGAGATGCCTGCAACAACTCCTACTAGGTTGAAGATTAAGACTGTGGTTGGTGGAATCAAGAGGGTTGTCCATTTAAAGGTATACAATTCTCCAAACTCTTCATCATCTGTTGCCTTGGATGTGACAGTGAAATTAGTGTCAATACCAGCTAGAACCTTCAACAGACCTTGGATAACAGCGAACAGATGTGCCGAAATACCACCAATGACCCAAAATTGCTCGTTTCTCCACCATTCCTCGATGCTTACTCCACTCCACCTTAGCTCAAGAATACCAGTTGCAAAGATTGAAAGAAACAAGGCAATGAAAAATAGACTCGCAAAGGTGCTTATCTGTTGCAGGAGAGAATATGAACAAGTTAGCAGATAAGGTATTTAATATTCAGTTCAATGATTAAAGGAGAATATTTTATTACCGGTGGCATGATAAATTTGTCAGTAAGCAAACAGATTGCCGGAAGGGAACAATAGGCGAGGAGTGGTAAAGATGTGAAGGGGTAGATGGTTGTGTTGACATATGCAAATCGCTCGAGCCACCTCAACTTTCCTTCCTTGAAGCCATACCATGCAGGGCAGTGACGACTAAAGAAAATTTCAACAGAACCAAGCGCCCATCGAAGGACTTGGTTGAGACGATCCGATAGATTGATGGGAGCTGAACCCTTGAATGCAGCCAACTTTGGCATGCAGTATATTGACCTCCATCCACGGCAGTGCATCTTGAAACCTGTTAGAATATCCTCTGTAATTGAGCCATAAATCCAGCCAAGCTGCACATGTGGAAGGTACAATTACAAACTTCAGATTAATGTTTAAACTTAGAAACATCTACTCTTCTTTCGAAATTAGAAGTATGAATGGCATGCAAAATTTCAAGCAGTTGGCATTAAGTACCTCGCTTCCCCATTCTGTTTTGTCTTCATAACCACAACTAATTACATGAATGGCTTCTTTGAGCAGAGCAGCAGGGCTTGAGGAAGGAGGGACACCACCTTGTTCCATCAGGGTTGAAGTTACAAAGATGGCCGACTGTCCAAATTTCTTTTCAAAGTTCATGTTGGACATCAAGAACTCCTTGTCATCTTCGGTTTCTGTTAGTATTTTGAAAAAAGATCTTGAAGTTAGATGAAATGAATAAACCATATGAAAGCCAGCTGCTCAAAATTGAAAGACAACAATAGAATGTCATTGTTAAGTGTTAGCCACCTTCCAGGCTGGGACCATTTGCATTTCCACCATCCTTAGAATGCTTTCTGTCCTTTCTGCGGCGTCCAAAGCAAGGGCAGCAGCCACAGGTTACCATCTTCGGGCGCTTTGGCCCCTTCGGAGGTTCATAACCATAGAGAGCTTGCCTTCTGAAAACACACCCAGTGCCGACATATACAGGACCTTGTATACCATCTAGACCTTTCATGTTAATCTGCCAGAGGACAAAAGTTTGATTAATTTATTCGTCCCTGTATCACCTTATAGTGCACAAAACAAGCATTAAGTCTGATTTATCCATTTCAAACAGTTTGAAGAGTAGATTTTTTGATGCACTTACATCAAAGAAAACTGTGTTTCGATTGGCATATCGGTCATGTCTGTCAATACCATCGAACCGTTGAGGGAATTGGACATAGCAGACCTTTCTTCCAATTTGAGGGTCCATCAAAAAACACATAGCCTCTCTTACAGCCTTGCTGTTATTATATAATGGTCACAATCCAAGTTCAACATAAAAGGAGCATTTGTAAGCACTCCAGAGACACGAACCTGAAATTTTTGCACAGATTAACAGAATTATTAGCACCTCAAGCTGGGCCTTGGAAATGAAGGGGAACTAGAATGAAAGAGAAGTTAGTAAATGCTTAAGATCTTTACGAGGGCATTCATGGCACCAGCTTTCTTGTGATGAGCGAAACCAGGCCTTTTCTCTCGAGATACATAAACCAGGCGAGGAAGCTCATTTCCTTCGGTATCATGGCCTCCGTTTTGACCGAGAAATACTTGAATCATACCAGGGTGATCTTTAGTATTGTTTCCTGGCCATGGTGTCCCATCTTGCATGATCCACCCTTCTGGAGGAACCTTCTGGGCTTTGGCTACAAGTGCATTTACCCTAACCTTGAATTCTTCATATTCTCTCTGTTAATCACCATGAAAAGATTAGTCCACCGCAATTTGAAACTCAGACTTTTGTCTTCAGGAGTTCATATATACAAACCTTCATAGCTCGACGCTCCTTCACGAATGTTGGCTGGACTTTGTCCTTGAGGTAATCAACCTTTAAAGTAAAGTACATCTCTGGTGCCCGGGGCTCTATGGCGAATTTCTTACAGAATGGCACCCATTTTCTAGCAAATTCAGCTGTTTGGGACAATGCTTCAAAAGTAAGCATGGAAGCACCATCGTCAGAAATGTAGCAAGAGACCTTATCCACGGGATAGTCCACTGCCAGATCGATAGAATTGTATTCGCTGTTACTAGAGGGGGTTCCTTCAGTGGATCCACCGTACTGACAAAGATGTCGACAGAAGCAAGCATGTTGGGCTCACCTTCCCTCTCATACCTGCATCAAGCATTAAGTGTTTGATTATGGAGAAAAAATAATCAACTAAGTGTCACTAGAACTTTATAAAATCTGTTTACCTGAGGGAAAGGCGGTCAAGATAAGTTTCACGGTCAATAGGGAACCATTAGGGAACTGATCAAGGATCCAGGAAAAGGCAAACCAGATTTCACAGATAATAGAAGTTAGCCACAGACCGATTGCATCATGCACTGGGTTCATAATTCGATAGCGGAGAAAGAAAGCAAGGATAACAAGACGAGCCACAATCACCATACGATATGGGTTGAGCTTGCTGGATGCAATTGGCACCTTCCTTGACAATGGCTGCCTAGCTTCATCAAGCCTGTAAGAGGTTTCACATGAGAAAGCACATTCAAGTTTTCTTCACATGTTGCCATATAACAGCAACAAATACTTACATGGACATGTCAGGATCATATGCATCATCATTTTCGGGACCCAAATTTCCTTGCTGCATTTTCCAATCATCCATCCTTTCTCTCCATCCTCCCTCTTTCTTTTCATCCCATTTTTCACTTCCTTTTGTTTGCCAATATATATACATATATACATAGTCAATTTGTTTATCAAGCTACCCAAAAGATTTGAAAACTTGGAACTTTGTATTGTGTTTAAGAAATCAGATCATTGATTCAAAACAAAAATTACTTTTAGATGATACAAGATCAAACATACCAGGCTCAGACGTAGGATAAGGATGAACTCGTTTATGGAGGGAAGAATTTGACATGTGGTCCCCATAAGCAAGAGAGCTTCCTACTGGGAATTCCCCGCTCACCTGCAACAAACAGAAAGAACGGCTTGATTATTATGAAGGATTTCCATTTCAGGGAAACTGGGAGATATTTTTCATGTTGTTGCTGAATCTCAGTGAGATATCAATGAATTTCTTACCGGCCTCGACCGGATACCAGCTAAACCAGGTGGGATTGAGAACTTTCATCATCTTCATGGCCTCTCCCATAGCTCATCTTACCATAAAGCATCGATTCTGCGATATTCCTATGCTTGTTTTGTTCATCATCAATGTTGAATTCATGTTCGATATCATCAATATCTTCTTCATCTTCATCCCCTCCACTCTAGGACTCCCTTCACACAAAATCAAACCAGGAAAAAAAATCACGTCTTAGAAGAATTAATGGCTGCTGCACCAAGCATGTTACTGGTAATGTAAATGGTGCAATACCTTTGAGACGCTTGTATCTAGTTTTGCACTGAGGACATTGTTGACTCCCTTCCCTCCTTTCATACTCATAGCAAGGCCTACAAACAGGGAAACCACACTCGTTGCAGGCCACGAAAAGATCTCCATCTACCGTCAACCCAATTTCATCACTACAATCTCACAAACTTGACCATCCAAGTTCTTCAGAGGTTTAGGCTGAATGCATCAAAAACACAATCAAGAATCCATTTACCAACTAAACAAAACAATGGGGTTTAAGCAAACTACGACATACAACTGATGTTATTTCTTTTTTTGTGTGTGGATAATTTGATGTTATTTCTTTTGTTACCTCTTCATGGCCATGAATGACAACAAGTTCGTTGCGGTTGTGTGAGCCCGCAACAAG